GGGAGGGAGAGAGAATGTGTGAGGGTGAGGGTACATAGTAAAATGTGACTTATGGTAGGTCACAATTTTAAAAGTGTGAAAGCAGTATCCTGGATGGTTGTTTTCATCTCTAGCTCTCTCTTTGTCCATGGGTTCTGTTCGGTCTATGCCAAGGACAACCAGCACCATGCCAGGAACATGGTGGGCACTGGGCAATGTTGTGGGGAGCCCCGTGTTTGGAGACCCAGCATGTGGGGCTGTTAAATGTCCCACTGGCTTCTGACGCATTTCTTCAGGATGGAGCTCCGAGCTGTTCCCTGTGAGTGGAGATCAAGTCCCACCCTGCATGCCCCTTAGGGCCTCCCTTGAAGACCTGTGGCTCAGACCCGGGGTCTCCAGCCAGGGACTCTCCACCCAGAGAACTGCTGCTGCACCTGGTCTTCCCGACAGAGGTCTTCACAGGCAAAGGACTCCCGGGGTCTCTGCATAAGACCCTCCTTTACCCTGTCCAGGGGCCACAGGATATGCCCCTCCTTAACGGGCCAGGGGCCACAGCTGGCCTCTCGCATGCTTCCTAGAGGTCCTCTTAATTCCGGTGTGGCCGCCTGGGCGGGGGAGGAGAGGCTGAGCGTGATGGAAACCAGACCTGCCCCGCCAGAGAGCAGGAATGCAGAGGGGTCCAGGCCGGGGGCAGCAAGGGGCAGGTCTGGCCCAGATTCCCCTCAGGCCAAACTTGCATTTCCCTGCTGCGACTGCGGCCCCTGGCCTAGAGGGGTGAAAGCCCACAGCTGTGTCCCATCCCCTCCCACTCCTCCGGACCTCCTTTCCCTGACCCCAGCGCCCTCCAGCCCCCCTCCCACCGCGCGCCGCCACATGCCCCACCCACTTACCCGCCCCCTTCCCGCGGCCCCGTCCTCCACTTCCTGTCCCATTGTCCTGGCCCTCCTCACCTGCCCCTTGTCTCCGCCCCACCCTGCGGGCCCCTCCCAGTCCTGGCCGGTTCGCTCCCGCCCCGGCCGGGAGGCGCCCGCCGCCCGCGCCTTGGCCTCACCCGGCCCGCGGGGCTGGGTTTCCGCGGCAGGTGCACTTCCCGCGGCCCGGCCGCCGCCCACCTTGTCCCGCAGCTCCTCGATGGTCTTGAAGTAGTGGCTGTAGTCGCGGGCGGGCCCGGGCCCCTGCTTCAGGTACCAGTCGCGGATCTTGGCCTCTAGGTTGCCGTTGGCCTCCTCCAGGGCGCGCACCTTCTCCAGGTAGGCGGCCAGGCGGTCGTTGAGGTTCTGCATAGTCTGCTTCTCGTTGCCCGCCAGCAGCCCGTCGGACCCGACCAGGGTGCCCGCATAGCCGCCGCCGTAGCCCCCGGAGGAGGACGAGGTCACGAAGCGGGCGGAGGACACCGACACGCCGCGGCCACCAGAGCCCCCGTGGATGCTGGGCGCGCGGAAGGCGCCTCCGACCCCAAAACGCAGGGGGCTGCCGCCCAGGCCCCCAATGGACGAGGTGGCCGACGACTGGCGATAGCTATAGGAAGTCATGGCGAAGGAGGACGCGGCGACACTGGTCGGAGGAGCAGCGGTCGGCAGGAGGAGTGGCGAGGCCCTCACCTGGCGCCTTTTATGCCCGAGGCGGGCGGGGGGAGGGGTCTGGTGTGAGGCGGATATCTGAGCCCCGAGGAATTTGCAGGCTCCTGAGTGCAAACACGGGCGCTCTCCCCATTGGTCAGTTCCTGGTGGCTCTGCCTCCAACTTTCCCCTCCTGCAGAGAGCTGCCCCACCCCAGCCCTCTCGGAGCCCAGAGCCCCCCACCCGTCACGCACATAGACACCCCCCAATTCACATGCTGGCCCTCCCCCGTTAAGATCACCCAGAGTCGGACACCCCCTAGGAGTTGAGTCCCTCTGAGAGGATAGTCCTACACTCTCGTCCCCCAGTGATCTCTCACTCAGAGCGCCCTCTGGAATCATGTTCTGAGCTCCTTCCTTGTGATTATACTTAACAACCCCCCCCTCGAAGTACATTCGGGAGATTCTTACACCCCCCTGGGAATCACGACCTCTCAACCTACCCCTTGGGGATCACCCACACCCTGACTCCCCCTGAGTCCCCAGATGAGGGTGCTCTGAGCTGCATGCCTGCTGACCTCTGAGACAAAGCTGCCCCACCCTGCTGGGGCCATACAGAGTCCCACGGTGACAAGGTGACAATAGGCTCCTGGGAACAGCTGCTGGGAGCGGATCTGCAGCTGCACTGGAACCGGCACCTTCACAACCCCAAGCTCAAGCCTGACCCCCACCTGGGGGCTGACCCCCAGGGTACTCTCAGCACCCCCCCCCCACAACCCCCTACCCTCCAGCCCCAAAAGTATGCATTCATTCAACACAGATTTATTGAAGTGTTTTAGTGGTGCCATGATCAGGCCTCTAAGCCTGAGGGAGGCAACTTACTGGCCCATGAGACATTTAGCACCTGCCACCCGGAGACAGAAATAAGATGGAATGCCTCCCTCCTTGTGAGCATCTGGAAGGAGGGTGTCAGAGGCTGAATCCTTGTGCCTAACTGTGCTGTCCTGGTACGCGGATGAATGAATGCATTGCTGGGGAGGGCTCTGGTACGAGGATGAATGAATGCATTGCTGGGGAGGGCTCCACAAAGTGCCCAGGCACAAAGGGAGGAGTTTTGATAATAGAGGAAGGAGCCCCTCTCCACCCACAGCCCCCAGCCCTGCTCTTCATCCAGCTCAGCAATTCCACCCACCTTTTTTGATGACTTTAGAGGGCCAGACCCCCTGCCAGACACTGCAGGGCACTGTAACCACCTCACCCCAGCGCCTGTCCCCAGGGACCTCACCCCTCCTCAGAATTGTCCCCATGGTTCCTTCCCGTCCTTATGGCGGAGCAGTCATCCACTCTCAGGACAAAGGCCTGTGTCCTTTTCGGAGGGTGTTAGGGAGATGGGCCAGTCACTCCCCATCTCCAGGCCTCAGTTTCCCCCTGTGAAATCTCCTCTCTGCGTATTATCACCTGGGTCACCTGTGGCTAAATGAATACTTATCCCCAGCTCTGAAATCTAAGTCCCAGTAACTTGTCTTCCATCCACCAATTTATCCAGGAACAGGGGCAGGAAACCCCACATACACCCCTAACCGACTAGGAGCAGCTCTGAGCCAGTAGGAAGGGCAGCCTGAGGCTGTTTAAACTAGTGAATCAGACTCACAAGTGGGTCCAGGGGCCCCAGAGTGGGAAGAAGGCGTGACCCAAGGCCGGCCATGAAAGCGGGTGCGGCTGGGCCTTCACAAAGGTTGTAGCCGCCAGGGCCAGTCTGACATGAGTCACTCCCTTTATTTGGCCCTGAGAAGGAGGCTTGCTCCTTGTGGGGGAAGGGGGAGATTGGCCAGATAGTTGCTATGCACACCAAGCCCCAGCCGGAATCTGGTTTTCTGACCTGATAGGAGGGTCTGGGAAGGGACTTTGTATTAGGAAACAAAGAATAGGACCAACAGTTCTCCCCCAGAGATTAAGGGGTTGTGAGCTCCCTAAACATCAGAGGAACTTAGAGCCCCAGTCCCTTCCCCCAGGGCCGTGGTCATAAGAACAACTGACTGTAGGGTAGGACAGTTTACAAAGCCTTTTCAGATCTCATTGGATCCTCACTGCAGCCCAGCAAAAAGGGTGTTCTTATCCCCATTTTACAGATGAGGAAACAGGCTCCTAGAGGGACAGTGACTTGCCAGAGGTCCACAGCCTGGAGTGTCAGATTTTGGCTTCCAGCCTCTTGACCCTCAGCCCCACAGCCTGGGTTCCTGAGTGTGACAGAATCTCTACTCTCCCTTCCAAGGAAGTCCCAGCTCCAGAACAACTCCTTTGAGTCCCTTCCCCTCAAATCTTATGCTAACTCCAAGGGCAGTCAGCCCCAGACTGAACTGCAGGCTGGGGTCAGGGAGAATCCCCCGCTCCCACTCTCTGGCCAGAACAGTGCCTGGCACCTTCCGCCATGAGCTGTGTGGCTTTTGACCGCTTCTCTGGAACATCAAGAACTCAGGAGAACAATCTGTACAGGCTGCCCTCCCCAGAGGTGGAACTGAGGGGTCAGGCTGCTGTTCCCAGTCAGTAAACAGACTACACACATGCTGGTGTCTTCCGTCCGCCTCTGGCTGCAGGAGGGCAGAACCTAACCCAAGGAGCTCCCTTCCCGGCCCTGGTGTCAGGCTGAGGATCCGTGGTCTGCAGCACTGGGGCACACAGGGCAGGAGTGGCGAGAAGGGAATGTGGGAGCATGACAGGATCCCAGAGAGGACCCTGCCCAGCCTCCCCCCAGCTCAGACCTGCAGAGCCCAGCACCATGAGATCCCTGTGGGAAAGGGGGCCGTTGTCAGGTAAGATCAGAAACACTGCTTGTGCCTACTCCCTTTTGGAGATTCACAGTGCACAATCCCAAAGGCTCCAAAAGCCTCAGTCCCTCATTTGTGAAAGAGAGATACTAATAAAATAATAACAACCTATTTTGTGGAGTTGTTTCAAGGGGTAAATGAGATGGGGCTTGGAAAGGGTTTATCATGGTGCCTGGCAAACAGTAAGCACTCAATGTTACTATTATTTTATTATATAATGTTATTATTGTTAAATAGTATGTTATTATTATAATTATCATTATAAGTATTATTATTTAACTTCGTTTAACCGACATTTCCCAAATATACTGGACCATGGAATCCTTTGTCAGGTAATACCTGTTAATAATCCATACCCTAAATTAACCAATCCCTTTTGTTGGATGTTTGGAATGCTACCAATTTTGTTATTATATCTACAGTTATTTTCTTAGTAGATAGATGTGGAATTATTGGGGGAAAAAAATAATCCATATATTACAGGGAAAGCCGATCCAGTCCAAGGAAGCTCAGAGAGGTCAAGCAACTTGCCTGAGGTCACATGGCTGAGGCAGAGCTGAGATTAGTTTCCACGTCCTGAGGACGAGGGCTCTCTCTGCATCTCCGCCTTGACCTACACTAGAAGCTTGCTACACTTAGCAAATGCAGCTTGCAGTTCCCAGAGGGGAGAGGTTAAAGGTAGAGGAGTTTTCATCATGTCTGAGGAAATGACATAGTGGGCGGAGACCACTGGAAAGAAGCTGGGAGTGAAAGTCCTAGCCCCTGGGTAGAATGAAATGGTGTGATGACAATGATGACAGTGATTATGGTGACGAAGGTGATGACGATAGCCAACATCTACTGTGCGGCCACCATGTTCAACACTTTGCTTACATTATCTCAATGAATCCTGCGAGTTAAGTATTATCATCCCCATTTTACAGACAAGAAAACTGAGGCTCAAAAAGGTTAATAACTTGACCAAGGTCACACAAGTACGTGGTGGACCCAAGATTCAAGCCCAGATCTTTAACTCCCTAAAGCTACAGTCCCAACCACGAATGCTATCCCTTCTCTCACAGGATGCAGGTCAAGGTGCCTTCCTCCACTAGTCTGGAGGAAGAGTCATCAAGTTGGGAAAGGCATAGTGTCACCTGTCAAGATCCTAGCTTGTCCTCCCTGTTTGGACACACAATTATTAATTTGGTCAGTCAGTGGTTTGTGCAAGCAAGGCTCAAAGTTCAGCCTAGCAGAGGAGATGGACTCGTGTATGTGAACAGAGCAGAATTCGTAAGCTGGAGGAGAGAAGGGTAAAGGTGTGCAGACTTCATGAACTTGCTTGTTATGTAATGGGTGACCCTTACCTAGACACCATCCCCTTCCCCAGGGACCATCAGTGCCGGCTTTTCAAGGTACCTTCTCACCTGCTCCTCCATTCAAGGAGCATGTCCCAAGCCCCCTCCCCTGGTGCTCGTGCCGGGATACAGAAGTAGACACAAGCTTTTCCTGCCTCTAAGAGGCTGACAGGCTGGCAGGGGATTGTGGAGACATTCATTTCAATGAAATGTGGTAGATTGGAGACCCACATTAATTTTTGCTCCTTCCTAAAACCCTGTTATGCTGACTGTTAAGGAGTATTTAAAGAGAATAAAAGAAGAGACAACAGAAGATGAGAAATGTCCACAAAAATTTTAAAGCTCAAAAATGGTAGCTAACAGCAGACAAGAGGAAGCTGAGACCCAAGGCAGAAGTGGACCAGAAGCCCATGACAGGCAAGCAGATTCTCAGCACAAACCCCAGAAGCTCAGGTATTGCGACACCAGGTGCCCTGCGAGGAGAAGATGGGACGGTAAACAAGGCTGGCTGGAACTTTCTATAAACAGCACCAGGCTGCCTTCCCAGACCCCCAACCCAATCAAGGGCAGGCAGGAGAAGATGGGAGATTCACTCTTCCCCATTACATTGGCAAAATTACAAAGTTTGATGATGTCAAGTGTTGGGAAGCTGAGGGCAAATGAACTCCCTCAAACACATTGATGGGAGGTGGGTTGTAGCGGCCACTTTGCAGGGCAGTTTGGCCGTGTCTTCCCTAAAAAACATTCACACCCCCTACAAGCCCCTGGCCCGCTCTTTCATACTTACCCCCAAAGAACCCCTTGCCCATATATATAGGGAGGCATATAAAAGGGTACTCTCTGAAGCCTTGTTTGTAATGGTGGAAAGATAGAAACAACCACTGG